ACGAGGAAAGAGAGAATGAACAGAAAAAGATAATGGAAATAACAGACAAGAATGAAATTTGGAAGTACATTAAAAAAGAAAGAAACAGAAAAGAAAAACCGAATGGAAAAATAATAGAAGAATGGAGAAAACACTTCATGGCACTACTAGAAGGAGAAGACTCAAGAAATACGGATTTAGATATAAACGAACCGCAAAATGAACCAGAAAAAGAAATAGAGGACATTGACAGAGAAGAAATAATAAAAGAAGAAATAGAACAAGCAATAAAAAATCTAAAAGAAATCTGCGGCCAAAGATGGAGTGAAAAACGAGGCATGGATATACGCAGACGAAAAAACAAAAGAGAAATTAAGAGAAATACTTCAGAACATATGGAAAAATAGAGAAATACCAAACGGATGGAAAGAAGATCTAATTTACTCAATACACAAGAAAGGTAGCAAAATGGAAGTAGGAAATTACAGAGGTATCACGTTGCTGGACACTGCACACAAGATATATGCAATTATACTAGAAGGAAGACTAAGAAAGGAAGCGGATCGATTGAAAATTCTCCTGGACACACAAACAGGATTCAGAAAAAGAAGAAGTTGCTTGGACAACATTTATGCACTGAAAATAATAGCAGAGAAGATTATCACAAAGAAGAAAGCGAAGTTGCATATATTCTTCGCAGATCTTAAAGCAACTTTTGACAGGGTAAATAGAAAACTACTATGGAAAAGAATGAAGGAATACGAAATAAATAAAAAACTCATCAAAAGAATAACGGATATATACAAAGAAACAGTAAACAGGATTATAGTAGGATACAAATACACAAAAAAATTCTGGACGGAGAGAGGGTTAAGGCAAGGATGTGCACTGAGCCCTCTGCTGTTTGTTATATTTATAACGGACTTAGAAGAATTTTTAAAAAAAAGACAAAATGGAGAAATTGTAATAGGAAAGAAAAAGATTTATATCCTAGCGTACGCAAATGATCTTGCAATGATAGCAGAAACAGAAAACGACATGAAAAGAACGTTAAAAAGTTTAAAGAGGTATTTTGACCAAAAAGAACTCACACTGAATGTAGACAAATCTAAAATTCTAGTCTTCAGCAGAAAGGAAAGAAGAAAACAAGAGAGAAAGTGGAAATGGAAAGGTTAAAATCTGGAAAAAGTGAAGGAATTTAAATATCTAGGATACACATTCAAGAAAAACAATAAAGATGATGAACATGTGAAGGACGTGGTAAAAAGAGCAGCAGCAGCAATGACACAGATATGGGAAATAGGAGAGAGAAAATTCGGCGGTGACTTCGACAAAAGAATGATGTTCAACGTTATGGTGAAAAGTATCATACTTTATGGAGTAGAGATTTGAGGATGGAAAGAATGGAAAGAAATAGAAGCATTACAGTTAAGATATATATACGGTGGACACTAGGACTGGACAGATGTACACCCGGACATATAGTAAGAGAAGAGACAAAAACAGAACAAATAAGTATAGTGGCAGGAAGCAGAACACTGAAGTATCAAGACAGAATAAAAAAAGAAACAGAAAATGAAATACTCAAAGAATGTAGAAGAGAGATGAATGGAAGAGAATGGGAAGAAACAGATCGGGACAAAACAACGAAGAAACTACTTGAAGAAAGCGGAACAAACTAATGGGAAAGGGAAGCAAGAGAGAACAAAGGAGAGAATACGATAGATGAATGGACCAATAAGTACAAGGAAAATAAAAAAAAGAGAAAGAAGAAACAAGACAAATGAATCAACCTCAGCGAAAGAATACAAAAATTGGATTACACTAAAAAGAGCAAGTTACATTGGGCAAAAAGGAAAGGGCAAACTAAAAACGATAGCAAGATTTAAATGCTGCAATGAATGGAGAGGTAATAGATACTGGGATGAAAGCAACAAAAAGATATGTAGAATCTGCGAAGAAAAAGAGACATGGCAACACATAACAAAAGAATGCAGTGTAACGAGAACAGTAAATAAAGAACATAAATAAGTCAGAAAAAGGAGAAGGGTTAGAATGGATGTTAAAAATGAATAAAATAAGGAAAGAAAAAGAAAAAGAGAAGCAAGAAAGAAGAAGGAAAGAAGACGGATAATAATGAAATAAATATAAAATAAAAAATGTAAAATGTAAATACATGTGAATATAAGAAAGCAAAACCATGTATCCCGAGAAGGGAATCATTATCTTTAATAAATAAATATATATATATATATATCTCACGAAAGGGAAAAAGATTCGCTTGAATCTAGCAACTAAGCGTGAATGCCAATCTTGACAGTTATCAAGATCTCGACTAATCACACTTAGCGACCCGCGAAAGGGAAAGAAGATTCGCTTGAGTCTAGCAAATAAGTGTAAATGCCAATCCTGACAGTTATTAAGATTTCGGCTAATCACACTTAAGAACTCACGAAAGGGAAAAAGATTCGCTTGAATCTAGCAACTAAGCGTGAATGCCAATCTTGACAGTTATCAAGATCTCGACTAATCACACTTACAATTAGGGATCCGCGAAAGGAAAGGAAGGTTCAAAGGAGAGGAGATGCAAAATATTTAATAAGCAGAAATAATTTAATAATACAATTAATAAATATTTATGTATGGATACTACAATAGTTAAAGATTCAAATCATTAGCAACATATTGTTTCCTTTGGGAGGAAGGAAGGGAGGATAAGAAAATGATGTAAAGAAAGAAAAAGAAAATCTTTAATAAACTCACTACTCGTTGTGTGCGAAGGTGACGAATTTAAAAATCTCTCTGAATAAGTGAACCAAGGTCTATCTCATGGACTCGGCTGTGCGGAAACGGTGACTCAGAGATCCGCTCAGTTGTTATAACGTTGATTGTGATGTTAATGCTCTTGACACTAAATGCCACTTATCATCAATGATATTCTAAGTGATATTCTAAGTCTTTCAGTTGTATGGGAAATTACACTCTGCACTCGCACAACTGTAAGAGCCGCGGAGGAAAAAAGAACCGTGGAGATTATGAATTGAGTATTGACTGCATCGAGAACTGAAGACAAAAATGGATTGAAAGTTGAAGGTAGATTAAGTTGAAAGCTGAAGACAGACTATATCGAGAGGCGAAGATAGATTGACTTTTCGAGGGAGGGTTTTGCGTATCCTCGAATCTTAGTGTCTCCTCGCGTACCCTCTCCATTAGGCAAGCAGAATCCTTTTTTAACAAATCAAATCTTTAAATGTTGCCCCTCTCATGAAGGCGTCTCCTTTCCAAAATAAGGTCCAGAAGATTGCGTTTATTGGTATAGATCTTTGTTTTAAAAGCTAAGTCCTGCCCATTGAAGAGTCCGCCATGATCGGCTAAGTTTTATTATTCACTTGAGTTTTACCTCAAGCAGATAACGCGCAAGGGTGGTCTGGCAGACGAGCACGTGGTGTCAAGTGTCGCGAGTTTCTGTCATGGATCATATTTACATCGATAAAGTATCGCTCTAGTTCTTAGAAAGACCTTTAATCAAGAATCTCCTTATATCGTGTTTTCGCTAGTGGATTTTAGAGTTGAAATATTATTTGATCCGTCTGTTTGTCTTTTGCATGCGCATGGTTTACATTTCGAGCGTTCTCACGGCTCGAGTATCTTTTATTTTCTATTTAAAATTCTTAAGAGTGGGCCTTTGTATTCGAATATTTATCGCACATGATTTAGGTTCTGATATTGTTTCTAAAATATTAGTCTCGCCTGCTAGATATTCCTTGGTTTAATGTTTACATCAAGTGCAGAGAATTTCCAAAATATAGACGTTTAATATTACGTGAAAGAAAAGAATCGTGGAGTTCACCGGACGTAACACCAAATATTTTCGAAATGTGTCGTTGTTTAAGTAGAAACCACGATCTTTACTGTAGCAATTCAGAAATGTTCTACTGGCCGGAGTAACAAAATCAGATTAGAAGAACAACGACACTTCTGTCTTCTAGCGACTGACTTCGCAAACAGACTTGTGAGATTATTCCTCCATGAAGATATCGTTTCAAGCATACCTCCTGTAGTTTGATTCTGTAACTCGTTATGCCATCGTTATGTGGTCATAACGACAGTCTTCGGTTCGTTATATAACGAGATATCACTGTAACGACAAACGCGATTCTGTACGCGAGTGGTAACAAGTTTCATCGCTATTGATACCGAAAAACGTCAGTGAATTGTTGTTGTGTCGCTATCATAACGCGGGGCCCATTATCCCTCGCTATTGCGTAACGACAGTTAGAAGTGATTAAAGTGACTGTATGAATGTATGAAAAAAGCCTGTACGTGCCTAGCAACTGTGACAGTTACTTTCAAGGTCAATTTTAAGGTTGGGCACTTTCAGAAAAAACGTTTGATACAAAGGTTTCTTATTTTTTCACGTACAATTCGAATCTGTAATAAAAAGTACTATGTTCCTTTAAAAAATTCAACTTCCGGTCCGGATGGCGCATTTCCGGTCGGAATCAAAAGTTGAAAATATCACCATTCGATAGAGCATACCCGATTTACTTAAAAAATGTTCGCGATTTTTGATTGCCATTTATTTTTATTTTAAAAGGGGTGTACGCGTGGTCTGGGACACCCTGTATATTACAAGGTAAGATGTACACGTGACTTTCTCATTGCTTAAACTGATATTTCATGAGCAATGAGCAGCAGCAGAATTTTAGTTACTAAAATCGATCCAATTACCGGTTAACTTACTAGCATCGATTTGGTGATGCCCATGAAATGTCATCTTTAGACGCATAATGATAACGTGAAATAGCGTCGTTTCATTATCACGTTATGTAGCGCCAAAGTATTGTTATTGACAGTTATGGAATCGGACAGTCGTTATAGGTCTCTCGTTACATGCAACAGAAGTCGGTATCGTTACCATACCGTTCCATGTTGCTAAAAATATACCGAGTTACAGAATCGCACTGTTGTAGACTTAACTTGAAATGTGAGTTTTTTGAGTTGTGACATTGTTTTTCTAGGAGTGCGATATGTTACAGGTTGTTACACACAGTTACATACAGTTATATATGAATATATGTATTCTCATGACAGGTCTTATTACCTTATTTATTAAAACTCTTGTATATAATTATATATAAGTCAAAAATTATATACTATAGAATTAGATTTTCCCATATATATCTTCCTCTAAATTATATATTTAGTATATTATAGAAAAAATAAAAATTAAGAAAAAAATAAAAATTTTTTATTATTTGTATACTTTATGTATTGATATTTATTTTATATATCCTGTATTTTTTCAGTTACCATTACCAGGAGGAGAAACTACAGAACGTCAATTAACATTAACTATTTGGGCAACAATGGGAAAAAAGCTGGAATTTAAACCATTACCTGGATTTGATCCTGACCTTGATAATTTGCAATATTATCGTGCTCAGCAAGAAATTGATTGTGATGAAGTATATCCTGGAATATATATTGGCGATGGGTAAGTATAGGAATAAATATACAGGGTAGGCAATTTTAATGTATCCACTGAAATATCTTAAAATCTATAAGTTTAAGATAAAAATGTTTTAGACAAAAGTTGTATGATTCACAGGGGGACACATAATGAAAATATGGACTTGATCTTGAATGACATTTTCAAGGCCAAGTCAATGTGATCATCTTACTATAATACTTTTATGTACAGAATAATGAGACAAATCAAATAGTGTAAAGAAAAAAAAATAGTTTTTATACTTTTTTACATTTGTATTTTGTTCTAAAAAAATACATTGTAAATAATTACATATCTTTTCTTAAAAACAATTATTTTTTTTACTAATTGATTTGTCTCATTATTCTGTACATAAAAGTATTACGGTAAGATTATCGAAAACTAAATATTTTACGAGATATTATATTTTTTATATCAAAATATGTCAGATTAAAATATAAAATAACTCAAAAAGTACTTAATAAAAAAATACTTTATTATAGTGTTTTGAAAAGCTTTCCAACTTTTGTCTAAAACATTTTTGTCTTAAACTTATAGATTTTAAGATATTTCAGTGGATACATTAAAATGGCCTACCGTGTACATATTGTTGCGTTCAATCTCGAAATATCTCAAAGGCGCGCAATACTACCGGCACTCGCGTACCACGTCGTAAATAAAGAATACTCTGTTAAAGAAAAACAAACGGAACTTTAATAACACAGAACTCAACTAAACGCAAACACAGATCAGATAATATCAGTAATCGTAATTACAAATTTGTGCGCACGGGATGACATCCGTCGCGAGACTAAGATGGCGGCTCTTCTCACAAAATGTCCGCCGTTGTTTAACAACAATCTCCCTAGCAACATGCTAGGGGATGATTTCCTAGAGACGGATACAACAAGTTTCAGAAATAACCGGTCAGACGACACGCAGAGACGAAACACGCAGGGACGCACGCAACGATATATAGACAGGGTATCCCAAAGCACCCTTGACAATGCTCGTGAGCAGGTAGAGCATAGTAAACGGAACAGAAAAGTCTTGTACCATTTTGCAATTTTTGCAATCATTATCGAAATATTAATTAAAAAGGATTGGCGAATGAGCGCGTTTCTCACGGCTAGACTGTAGGACGTACGCTCTAGGTGTGCCAGCGGCGAGCTTCGCAGTATCGCATGGCAACGAAAAGTTTGGTGGCCCCGCGACAAGAGTCGGGGTATGCGCGTGCAGCGAGCGGCCATTAATAAAAATTACTAAATGATTTAGATAAATAATGCTAACTAAATACTTACCTAATAATTACAAAAAGAATTAATTATTAAATAATGATATTATTATTATTATTATTATTATTATTATTATTTTATTATTATTTTTTCACGTTTCGTGGAAAAGGAAACAGAAAGATAAGAGAATTTGATGCTGCAATAATATACTTACGAAAAGAAACGATCGAGTATCAATCGTGAATTACGGTCCTTCATCAAAACTATGATACAACACAATAAGAAACAAAATTAGAATTGTGAATGCTGAAAATAAGATACTTATGAAAAAGAAACATAAAGAATCTATCGTGTGAATTTACGCTTATAAGCTTTCGTTAATTTACTATTCACAATTACTATAGAAAACAATGCAATCGTTTTCTATCGGTTTCTTTTGGTTCCTTCATCAGGATTGTGACAAATGTTCGTACAAGAATAGTCGAATACACATATCAAAGAGTATAAAGCCTCCGCTAGTATAAAATAATAAACATTTCCCGCTTTATGTATCGAAATAAGATATCTTCCATATACTTTGTAATTGCTCTGAGGATGGTCCAAAAAAAGGACCGAAACGTACGCTTTTTGTGATTTTGTTTATCACGTAGTCAAAATATCAATGTAATTTGATTGTAATAAAACATATGCGCACGAATTACCGCGCTGGCTCTTGATTGCCTTTTATTTTCTTCGTATGATAAAAAATTTAAAGTTAAAAAAATAAAAATTAAAAAATTAAAATTAAAAAAATAAATATAAAAAAATTTCGTGTGCAAAAAAAACTTAGCGCTTTTATTTCAATTAAAATTAACATTATGAATAAAATATAATAAAAACTATAAAATAACTTTATGTTACGTCCGGGCGACTCCACGATTTCTTCCTTCCGCGAAGTGTCGGCAATGATCATCGATTGGTGAAACAAACGAATCGCTCAGTAAACAGACCAACGTAAGGGATCGGTGAGGAAACCATGTCGGTCTCCTCGAGATAAATAAAAATCAATAAATATCCCTTAGTAAAATTTGCCAGCGAAAAAATAAAGAGGCATCGACAAAATAATATAAAATTTTCTAACGAAATACCCAACAAACACAGCGGCATCAACAACAATATAAAATTTTCTAACGAAATACCCAACAAACACAGCTGCATCTATAATAATAAAAATTTTCCAACAAATATTCATTAAACACAGCTGCACCAATAGCAATAAAAATTATCATAGGAAAATAGGACCTTTTTCTAATCTGAACACGTGCAAGGAATCTTCGAACGAATATCGAACTCACCAACGGACGATCACCACGGGTAAAACGTGAAAAGTAGGAGAAACACCCCGCCTAACGAAGACACTGGCACATTTTTAATTTGCTAAGATTGAAGGATCCCCACTGTTGCGCAAATTCAATTCGTCAAAGTTTTGGAAGATTCCCACTCTTAGAATTAGAATACGCCCCAAAAAGAAGATTATACAAAGAGAACTCGCGAACACATCACATTTTCCGTAACTCTCAATCCGAGTGCTCTTATTATTCTGCAACTTTCAATCCGAGTACTCTTGTTCTGTGTCGTGACTCGCGGGTTAGTTGTGAAAACCAGTGTCTTCATCAGCGGGGTCTTTCAACCATCAACAACCACAACCAACCAACCGAAGCAGCGCTTAAAGGCGCCAATCTCATATTAGCTACTACTAGGAAAACACCGATTAAAAGTAAGTCGCTACCAACCAATTTTCCTTCACGCGAATTCCACTTAGAAATTGTTACCTTATCATTTTCTATAGTAAAAAGGATCACCTTGCGTATTTCAATCAAGCGACTTCATTAGCGAACTAAACACATACACCGAGTTTATCGCAGGACTCGGAGGGCGTTGGCTCGAGCTGATTCACAAACAATTAAGATAGTTAATCAATATATCGCTAAGATCAATTATAATTTAGTCAAAGCGAATAGAATCGTTAGAATAATTAATAACATTAACAATCACAAATGCGATTCTACACACGCCTACACACATCCTAGTGACTTCATCACCCCAAGATCTCCTCCCCATTTTTCTCCAAGCTACTTCCCAGTATACTCCCCCGAACCCCTTTCTCCTGAACCACCTTCCTCCCCGAGATCATTCTCATCATTATCGACGATAATCCTTAACAATTCACCCCCTCCTTCTCCCTTTTCGGAGTCCGACGACTTCGAAAAGGCCATTCAGGAGTTCTGCGAAGAACTGCCCGACTTAGAATCAGATTCGTCCTACCAGGACTAAATTAAACTAAATTTAAATCTCCTTTCACTTTCTCTTTATGATCCTTACTTCCTACCTCATTCACACACACACGCGCGCGCACACGCACACGCCCATACACACACACGCGCGCGCGCACACACACATACACACACACGCGCGCGCGCACACACACATACACACACACGCGCGCGCGCACACACACATACACACACACGCGCGCGCGCACACACACATACACACACACGCGCGCGCGCACACACACATACACACACACGCGCGCGCGCACACACACATACACACACACGCGCGCGCGCACACACACACATATACACGACCTCCAACATTTCCATTACACATGTCGAATTTTTAGGTGTGACGAATATATTTCTTAAAATAAAAATAAAGGAAGACATTAGAGATATCGATGTAAACAGAAATACAAGAAACGAAAAATGAATCTGATCACTCATCGGCGCGTGACGATCGCCAACAAAAGTTAATCAAGAATCTTGCCGGAACAGTTGGCAGTGATTACGTCGGAAGTAGAAAGTTCCGGTCACAAGGGAGGTTCTGGCGCACACACAACATAATCTCGGGAATTCTACTACGGGAGTAAAGTGCGGTGACGATGGGGTAGATGGGCGGAAGTTGGTGTTAACGGAGGTGCAGCGAAGGTTGCGGGAGGTTCTAAATGTGCGGCGTTCCCGTGTCCGCGCTGTATGTTACATATGTAGTTACCAAGTGTACGTGAAGAGACACAGGCGTGACCGAAAGTCTCATAACACTTGGAAACAGGTGGCGTACTCTCGTACTCTCATCTTATTGCCTCGACTAGTTCGTGCCAGAGGCAGAGAGAAAGAGAGAGAGAGAGAGAGAGAGATAAAGAGAAACGGGATGAGGAAGAAGAAGAGAGAGAGAGATAAAGAGAGAAGTTGAATCTCGCAAAAGTAGGAAAAAGGACGAGAATACGAGAAGCGACAAAG